GTTAAGCATGAAAATAATTACAACTCATTTAAAACTTATTGCAAAATTGTTAAATATTACAAATTCTTTAAAAAAAATATTTATTATATGAAATATGTTATCCGTACAATATTTGGAATTATATCACCAACATAAAGCAAAATTTATTTTGTAGAAACTTTAATGGTGGGGAATGTTTTATAATTTCATGAAATATTTTGTAAATTAAATAATAGTCATACAAATTATATAAATAGTAATGGTGGAAGTTTAGACAGCACTATGGGAAAAGTTAAAAAATTTTGATCTTTTGCATATATATATAGGGGAGAGGGGGGCACCTTTGAACGTGGGGCATAAAATCTTGGTTTAATATTTTTCCGACCCGCAACCATATTTTTGTATATGGCAATCTTGTTCTCTATATGCGTAAACCACTTTGCCTTGCTTTTTCAGTTGTCGAAAATTTGTGAATGGGTGACCATGTTTTCTCAGTGTGATTGTAAACTTTTATTCATTTGGTTGTAAGGGCGCAGGAAGAATTATGTGATAGTTTTCTTTCGTCAAACAATTTTTTTGCATTCCAACAATCATTTCAAACATAACTTATGTATTTTCTTTCATATATATTTATTATAAAAAAAGTTATTTTAAATTTCCGTAAAATGTCATGGGTGGGGCACCTTTGAACATGCCCATTAAACACGAGTAAAAAAAGAAGTTTTTAACTTTTGGCTTCGATTTCTCAAAATTTCAAATGGGCTAATAAGATTACGAAATTAACTGTATTTTTCACCATATTAATTTTTGTTTTTAAGTCATTTTATGTTTTAATAACTTTTGATCTAAATTTTTTAAATTTTGAACATTTTTTATATATTTTTTAATGAATTAATGCATTTCTGATATGTATTAATAAAATACATACATATTTGAACATAAACACTGTAAAAAACCATGTCGTTCAAAAATGTCAAGCCTTGTTCAAAGGTGCCCCCCTGGGGGGGGCAGTTTTGAACACTTTGAGTTCGTCCATTAAAACAGAAATAAAATATATTTATCAAGCTTATAGTATGTCATATGTATATTCATTTTAAAGGTTACATATGTACCTATTAGTTAAAATTTATAAGAAACTAAAAATTATAAAACAAAAAATTTTATAAGGCTTGAAAGAAAAAAGTGTTCAAAGGTGCCCCCCTCTCCCCTATATATATATATACTGCACTGCGAATGATTTTGGAAAGTGTGACAACCATTTCGGCACAATGAAAACAGCATCTCTACCAAACATGATTTGTAACACACAGGTCACCAGATATGCTGATTTGCAGCCAACTTCTGTAGGTCAACATTTCGCAAACTCCTCAAAAGTCTCAACATTCGGTACCAAAACTTGGCATTAACGTAAAATTAAACCAATGTAGATTATTTTTGGTGTGGTACATTTTGTCATCCATTAAAACCCAAAATATCAGTTTATAGCCAATTCGTATGGAAAACGAGTCCGAAATCCTTTAAATGCCGAAAATTAAGGTAACTACACCTAAACGTTGACCCATGTAGTCTGTCTTCGAACTACCAATTTTACCAATTGGATATAAAATAATATTATATTTTCCAAATTATGATTTTTAATTATACAACGTTTATTATTTGATATAATTCCCAGCCATTAAATAGTTTCTATTTCGACATATAAAAGAAAATAAAAATAAAATTGAATATAAACAAAATAATATTTTTCTTTTAGTATAGTTGCATTTCTAAATTATTATTATTATCGTAAATCTCTTTGATTGAATGTAACATTCAATGGAATAAACTATTCAGACATATACACATACACAAATACATATACATATATTTTTCCATACTCTCATACTTATATTAAGTAAATATATTTACAACAATTGTTAGTCAGATGATAGATACAAATTGATAGGTAATTAAAAACTAACAACAAAAGAAAGAAGAAATTTGCAAAAAATAAAAAAGTAGGAAATCAATAACATCATGTCCGAATGTTCGGTCAATTAAACAATCAGTTTAATCAAATAATAAAATTGTGCTTAAACATGATGACAAGTGCTCTCAAGATTATTGTCCTAATATTCTTTGAATTTATTTTTTAGTATTTTTTTAAATTAATTTTGTATTTTTTCTTTTTCAAATTTGATTTTCCACTCTATTGTCTTATGATATAATAATAACCCAGATATGTATGTATATAAAAAGGGGGAAAATGAATTTAGATGATACAGTGACACCAAAACGAAAGTCATGTAGAATTTATTACCATTTAAGACATTAGTTTTTGGAATTGTAACTTATACACAGTCATCTTGCAATTATATATTTGGTTTGTGAATTTATTTAGACAATTTTTTAATTAAATAAATAATATATATTTATTATTGAAATAACCAAATAACATTTTAGTGGGGAAGATGGGATGCATAACTTTTAATGACAAAAATAACAAGGTTCAGCAAACTCAATAAATGATAAATACCCAGACGCATGCGAACATGCCTAAATAGTTTTAGTACATCATCAAACTGACTATTTCAAAGAATCAGGGCCCCATATATCCTCTAAACGAAGAAATACACTTTAACATTTTATTACAACAGTGATTTTTAAATTGCAGTTCTTTCAGAAAAGTTTTGTATCTTTTACTAAAATCATAATGTGATAAACAATGATTTTGACCATGACTCCTAAAAGTATGCTTTAATTAATTAATTTGTGAAGAATACTTTTAAAATGACCAACAGGCAAATACGGGCGGATTTTTAAAGAATAATTTTTCAAGGACCAAAAGACCAATAAGTCGTGGATTTTTATACAATATGTTTTTAAAGACCAACAGGCGAATAGATGTTGATTTTTAAAGAATATTTTTTGAAGGGCCAACAAGCAAATAGACGAGGATTTTCAAAGAATATTTTTTCAAGGACTATTTTTCAACGATTGGTTATGCATTTCTAAATTATTATTTTTATCTTAAATCTCCGATTGAATGTAGTCCTGTCCACATATTTTTGATGAGATTGAAGGACATTTTCGTTTTGGTGTATCTGTAGTAACGACTATTTTAATGGTAGATATGTTTTGGCTGGCCAAATTTGGAATGAAGTAGCGAAACTTTTTCAATGAAACATCTAAAACAAACAAAATATACAAACGGAAAAAAATTTTTTACTTTTTGCAAGGATATCATCAAACACATACACACTCACAAAATTTATATACATCAAATAACTGTTTGCTGTGATAGTAGTAGTCAGTAATGATTGTACGCCGAGTTGTGTTAAAAAAAGTATCTCCCTCCTTCAAGATAAAATAAAACAGGGAAAATAAACAGGCTGCTAAAAGACTTGTTTTAAATAAAATTCTCATAAACAAACATTGTATTTGTTCAAGCTAAAGTGGCGGCTGGGCTTAACAGGGATGTTGTTGCAAAGCAAAAGAAAACTTGATGTAGCATTTTTTCTTTTAAGGCCTAAAAACACAGCAAAGCCTTCACTAGCACTTAGCACCACCTTGGCAACGTGTTTGCTTTGTTATCCCACACATACTTTTTTGGCACATTTACAGAATAGTAATATAACACTTTAGCACCTTGGTGTTTAGCAGCAACTGCAGCAGCATCAATGCCGAGAACAGCTGTATTTATGCATTGTCCTTGTAGCTGTTGCTGTTTAGTTTTTCTATGAAAATTACTTAAGAAAATGTTGTCAACAAAATGAAATAAAAACTAACACATTTAACTAAAAACATAGAGAAAAAGAATAACATTTTCTGTTTTTTTGTATTTTTGTTGCCCAAAAAACAGTAAAGCTAAGAGCAGGAGTGCTGGGATGCAAAAACAAAAACTTAGTTAAACGCAGGAACTTGTACGTTTAAACGAAACCTTCAATTCATGCTGGTGTTAAGAATGAAAGAAAAAAAACTGCTTGAATATGAACAAAATGATGAGCATGATGACATTCAACTTAAGGCAAAACTTATTTCTGATACAGTCATGAATGAAAAAAAAAACGAAGAATCCAAAAAAATAAAGAAAAACAACACGGACAACCCGCGCAAGTGTATCACAGTGTCTCAGTGTTTCCTTGTATATCCTGTAGGGTTTGGTTGTTTTTTTTTGTGTTAAGTTTTAGTCTTTCCAGTTTTTGGGTTAACGTTTCATTGCTGGAATCACTAAGATGAACAGATGACTTTGCTAGTTGTAATAACTACAACCAAGTTTAGGTTTTTCTTTTCTTTTTGCATAAAAAACTCTAGTGGTGTCAGTTAACGTAGATGTTGTTCTTAAGTGTATGTGTGTGATTGGGTGGTGTTTTTGTTTTTAGTTTTATGTTTAACTAGTCCTTTAATATGGCATAATGAATCTCTTAAGCGTTTTTTTGCATCATCGTCTTCCTTAAAATTTGTTACATTTTGTTTGAATTTTTTTCTCATACGCTTTTTTGTTTTCTTCTCATTCTCTTCTTGTTTTTTTTTACTTAATATTTACTACGGCACCTTGTTCTTGTTTTTCTGATTTTTTAGTTTTCATTCAGAATTTTTTTTTACGAATTTTTTTTCGGCTAGGGCATATTTTGTTTTATTTGCTTTGGGTCTCTTCTTTTTCTTTAAAGTTAGGAAGGTTATTTTATATTTATATTTTGGGTTTTTGGTGTCTGGTGGGGATAGGATCGATTTCTATATATATATTTATATTACTCTAAATATGTATATATATTTTAATATATGTATAATATATTATATACTTATACAGTATATAAGTGTGTATGTATGTTTACATTATGTTTTTACGCTTAGAAAACTAATAAAATATTTAATATTTTAACTAACATTATTTAATAATTGCTTAATGTATAATTGGATTTGGATATTTTTTGTTTGTTGCTGTTGAAGTTTTAATTTTTGCTGTTTCTGTGGCGGCTTTCATGTTATTATTGTTGCTGCGGCTATTGATTTATAATTTGTATTTTTATTTTATGTTGATATTTTTGTTTTTTTTACTTTTATTTTTTAAACATTTACAAGCTGTTATTTATGGAACGCTAGCTACCAACCAATTCGATTTGTCGATATTTTTTCCGTAAATTTGATACAGGATCGCGATATAGAATGGGATCTAAACGCATATTGGAACGTACAAGTGGCATGTAGCTGAAATGAAACAAGAAAATAATGATATAATAAACATATTAATATTGAATGTGTAATGGGGAGAATGTGTTGTCTAGTGTAAATACAAAATACTATCGCAAAACACCGATTTTTCGTAATTAAATAAATTTCTATTACTCCTAAAAGAACACTTATTTTTTATTGTATACAAAAAAATGCAGAACTCTCAGTTCATCACAACGGGGACATAAGCCAACCGTTTCGCTCCAACGCATACTGGATGAAATAATGAATGAAGTCTGCTCTCAGTGAAGAGGCATAACATGGAGTCTCTCACGACAGCTCGAAGTCCTATGCGAATGATATCTGCCATCTCTCTCACAAGATTTCCAACATGCAGTCAAAAGTAGAAGATCTAGAGAGACTGGCACACAGTGTTGGACTTGAGATTAATATCCACCGAGGATTAGGTGCTTCACTTATAGAATTCCACCGTTAGATAGATGTGTCCCGATTTCACAATGCAAGAATCGTCGCCGTACTTTTCTAAATAATGGGAACGTCATTTGGCAGGAGTTTTGATATTTCACCAATCGTTCTGATCTGTCAATATATATTAGTCCAATAGTTTAAGTAAAAAAATGGCTAAAATAAAAACGGCATTGGATCTAGAAAATAGTGGGAAGAAGTAAAGCTATTCTTGAACCAAGGAAGGCGGGATGATCTGACCTCTCTCGCGAGTATTGGGTCTTAAACAACATCTTCAGGCCGAGGGGGAACCACCACAATTAATGTGGGAAGATGTTGCTAGGGTCATCATATGCGCAAAAGATTGATGGGTGATGTTGATCTCAATGGTGATGTTGAAGCAATTGTGTGAATAGTACTTGTCCAACGTCCGCCATTTGTCGTTAACAACCCTAATAGTTCCCGATACCTGTTATTTGGCAACCGTGGTTCCGCTATTGAAGCCAGACAAGGATATTAGTAATGGAACCTCTTCCTAATTTTGAATCATTAGCCGACAGTACTTAGGGTGCCGATTAAACTGTGAGACAAAATATCCGGTTCAAAACCAATTTTTTGTTTATTAATATATGTTTTTAGTAAAAAATACGGTTAAAATTGAGAAGATACTATTAAAACGTTAAAATATCGATTTTTGTAGAACATTGCGAGGATTAAAAATAACATATTGTGATAATTGAAGTCCAGTTCAATAAATTAAGGACGAAAAGTGCACACAAGGAATCGAGTTAGAAGGACGAAATGTTCTGCAAACAAATTCCTTATTTCCAAAAATACATATAATGGCTAAAAATCAGAATATTGGGCAATCTATTTCTGTATAATAGGGTAGCAAAAATGTTCAAGCCATTTGACCTATGGCAAATTTTTCCTTTTGGGGTTTTCATATAATCACGAATGTCTTTCATTCCCAATAGGAATTTTTCCATCCCCAGATCATGATCTCGATTTTGACTAACAGTGTAATAAAAACAATAAAAGGCCGCGGTCTGTAAAAAGCTTTTTGGCACCAGTGTGGTTACGCAACGATAACAAATATTTAATCCTGCCAAAACGCCACCCCAAAGAGTGCAACTTGCTGCCCCTTCTGATAATGAAAGACAACTAATATGTGACGACGATCTTTCTAGTTCGTCATCACATGAATATATTGGAGGCAGCCATAATTTCAATAACTGCAATAATTGTCAAATATGAGGAATAATAGGGGGTATACAATTTACTCTAAAACTAATGTTTGTGCATTGGTTCCGGTATTATTATCAACTGCTACATTTAGAAAATGTTTTAAACACCATATACTTCATTATCATGTCGGATAGGCTGATGAGAGTGGACACATAAAACTAAATATATCCTTAAGTTTATATTAAAAAAGGTTGAAATTTCAGTGGTTTTATTGACATATGTCAATATTTTTATTTTGTTTGTCCACTTTGACTTAAAGAATTTCACATTTTAAAACTTTCCTCAAGAATTTTTGTAAAACATTATTGTGGTTGCATTATTTTACGTTAAGCATCTCGTTGTTAACAAAACTCCGGGAACATTCTTTCGTTTTGAATAACTTTGAATTGTAGTTGCAACCACAATTTCGGTGTGGTAGGGAGTTAATACTCGTATGGTATTGGTAAATAGATCACGTTTCATATTATTTCCCTGTCATTGAGTTACGAACATACGACAATTGTATGAGTGCTGACTCTATATCCGTTTGTCTGCGATATATATGAGTTTTCAATTCAAATTACTTTTTTGCGGGTGGTGGAAGTCGTTCGAAAACGAGTGGATGTAGTGTAATCACAAAACGAAAGGTAGTTTGTCATGATTTTCGGATGATTTCATTTTATTATTATTTTTAGAATGTTGAGGTATGCATATTTGATGTCGCGACAAATTTGTGAACATCTAAAATGAATATGTGGTTTAACTGTAAGTATTCATTTAATATAAAATATTATTTTCTTCATTTGGAATTGCAGTAGTGTTGGTATTATTATTTGTGATATCATTGTACTATGTTGTTTCAAAATAGCTATACTAATTTTGCGTAGAAAATTCAGCAATATCAATATATTTAACAAAAACTTTTACAACTTACCCAAATACAGCAGCAAAAGTGTTGAGACAACTCTGACGCTGTATAAAGTGATCTGGATCATTCCAGGGTGAACGGCCCGTTTCACGATCCTTGTAACCTTTGCGCTGTGTTACTTTAATGGGAGCCTTTCGGGTAACATGCGATACCAGAAAATTCATTAGGATGTCTTCGCAATTGGAAGATTGTTGTACAGTCTTCAGGAGTAGCAACGACAACCAGTTGGTATACAAATAGTTGTAGTAGCGATGATAGAAAGCGGCACCAGTCAAAACAATGGAATAGTAATTTGTCCACTTTGAAGTGTAACCCCAAGCATTCTGAAAATACAAAAATAAATAATATTTATCAATTTCGGTACGAATTAATTCGGTGGTGATATACAAAATTACCTTGGAATCATCCCAGAAGTGAGCACGAGCTGGATAGCCAACAATGCGATCGGGAAAATCTCGCCACACCGTATAGGCAAAATCCAACTCATCCGTATTGAGTATGGCGTCCTCGTCCAATGATAATACAGCATCTGTTTGTATTTCGTCATAAGGATAAAATCGTTGGGATATACTGGGGCGTTCGTCGGTCGCATCAGCGTCGTTGTCAGTCGGCGTCTCGCCATCAGGTGAATGTGCATTATTCCTATTCTTATTATCATTATTATAATTGTGGTTTTTGTGCTGAGATGCTGAGCGACCGTTTAAGGCACCATCGTTTTCTACATTTCTCACATAATCTGCTGCTGCTGCTCCTCCTACTCCGCCGCCACCACCAAGTTCTCCCCCTCCTTTGAGGGCAGCCGCTGGAGCAACTGCCATTGCCGCCGCCGCTGCTGCAGCGGACTTTGTTTGATATGAGCTGCCGAGTGATATCACATGGAATGGTATATGGTATGTGGGTGGCCAACGTTTCTTAGCCGGAATGGGGCGATCAGCCGCCCATAAAACAATAATCTAAAACGAACCGAACGAAAGCAGACGCAAAACAAATATGGGTCAATTAATGATGCTACCAAATTCGCCCGAGAGAGAGAGAGAGAGAGAAAATAACTTACCCTATCTACAAATTGACTTTTTGTTATGGTTTTGACTAGTTTGTAAAGTGCATTATTAGGACCTAAGGGTGCACCTATTTGAACATATATCACGGCTGTGTAATTGTCTCTTGTTCTCAAGTTTATATCGTCCAACAAAAATGGCATAAATCTGAAACGACAAAAGGAAGCAAGGATTAACAGAAAAACGCAATGCAATAAAAATGAAAAAAAGCGAAACGAAATAGGAAATGAGAGAAATGACATCAACAATAACAACAACAATGTTCATTAAACCAGCCGTTCATCTAGCAGAAACAGTAGTTCAACGAACGAATGAAAATGAAAGAGCAGAGAAATGGAAAATGCGACCATTATTTATAAAGAAAACAAAAAAAAGAAAAAAAAACTATTGCAATTACTTCCGACTCCTTTCGGGCATCGGTAGTCAGGTGCTACGCCCAAATGTAGGTCAATTACAATACAATATCACACAAATCTTACGGAAAACTAATGTCGATGCTGCACATTTTTTTCGGGGCGAATTTTATTTTGCCACAATGCTACGTGGCAGAGAAAAAAATGTTTCTATCTTATGTTGATAAATATTTACTTAAAGTAAAAATTTTAAAACAAATTAAATGGACAGAATTAATTCAATTGGAAATTGGAATTATATGAACTAAGTTGTATTAATTTTAAAATTGACACTCTAGCTAATTCTGTAAAAATAATAGTATTTGAAGGAGTACATTGGTAGGGAATAGTTCGATCTTTTTATACCCACAGATGAAATGAGGCTTTATCGAAGTTTGGTTTGATCTATGTTTAACCTTTTGCAATGCATTTTGCATGTTGACTACTACCTACTTCAAGCTCCTTCATGACAGAAAGGTGAATTTACAGATCACCCTATTATGCATTTAGTCGAGCTTTCGAACAAAATAACGGATCCTAATGGTATGGAGTTATATAAACACTCTTCAATTTGCATTGCATGTTGATTTAAGCAAGATTGAAAATAATAGGTTGACTGACGGCTGGCATCAGCTATCTTCCTGTCGGAACAGATAATGTAACCCCTTTTTTGTTTGCTATCTATATTACGACTATATTTTGATTTGATATCTTATACCACAAAAGTAGTGCTGAAATAAAAAAAAATCACAATTACTAATAAACTTTAAAGTTCCCTCAGAGAGGGCATCGAAGTGATAAGGGTAGTATAAAGGATTAAAATTTATCCGAAACCAACTGGATCCAACACAGTTTCGAATTTCATTGCTGGGTATTCATCTTTTTTGGTGGAGATTGGAAGTTAAATGAAACTCGTCAATTCCTGGGATGTTTTTCCAATCGAAGTGGCAGAAAATCGATATTCTGGGTACTAATTGAACTTGAGCTGAAATCTATTATTCAGGATTATTAGAGAATATATATAGAATATATATAGCATTTCCAGATTAAATGAACCCTTTTACAAATAGAATGAAACTAATAATATTTGCAGTAATTTTAAATCAATATTTGAAAATTAAATCAAAGAATAATAACAAATATAGTTGTATGGCTATGTAATTAACATAAATATTCTTTAATTCGGTGTGATTTTATTTAATATCTTTACTACATAAAACTAAATAAATAGTAATACAAACTGGGGTATTTCTTGACATTTTAATAAGTAAATATTTTAGAACAATAATTGAATAACAGGTCCTAAATGCGAAATACATATTTGACTTAATAAATTGTTGATGATAAGGTAACTGCTTATCTTAATGAAGGGGTTCCCGATTTGCAGCTTGTGGGATTTTCAAAACCATGTCCATAACGTAGTTAGAACAATTTTGCCGATTAATCTTTTGAATACTTCGCTCGATTACATCAACAATGTTATGTTCCATTGAAACGTCACACAGCTCAGCTCTTGCACATATTTTTATTTTTGAAAATGCATTTTCGATTGGATTTAGCATTGGAGAATAAGGCGGTAAGAATTTAAGGTTGCATCTAAAATTTGGTTCTAAAATGTGTCTAATAGGCAAAAAATGCCTTAAATCGGGAGATATGGAGATATGGGGGCTATATCAAAACTTGGACCCAGGGACCCCATGTTGGAGTTCTATATTTGCTTTGACATTAGAAACATGTGTGCAAAATTTTAGCCGCCTATGTTATGTAGTTCGGCAGTTAATGAGTTTATACCCAAGCTTTGGGTAAATACTCAAAATAGGGGTACCTTTGTATGGGGGCTACTAGTAAACGTGGACCTACATACATAAATACATTTTGCATGGACATTTTGTACTCAAAAAGAACACTCTGTGCCAAATTACAGCCAATTTACCAAATTATTTACCCAATTTACCGGGTATTTACCCTTTGGATATTTACCCATTGTCCATTTCTACGCATGCGGTTTTCGTATAAACCGAATCAATGTCTTTCAATAATTATGAATTTTTCGATGTTTAATTTAGCGGTCAAAGTGTGCCGCTCGATGCACTTTACTATGCAAAAACCCTAAAAATGGCTAAAAATTACGCAACGTGCATACGATTTTTATACGCATCCGATTTCAGTAATCTCCTATGAAATTACACAAAGACCCCTCATATTTCGCGAAGATGTTCAACTTTATCGCGATTATTATAATATATTCATATTCTTATTTTACGGAGGAAGATATATATCAACGTTTTTGGTCAATATAATAAACGGCGTAATTTTAAGATTTTTTTCTTATGCCCAAAATTAAAACATCGAAAACTTTTGCGCGCATCAACCAAAAATTTGATCGCGAACTGTTTCGAAGTCAGAACATTTTTCTCTATATATGTACCAAAAATCATTGATGTGCCACAAAAACAAAAAAGCTGATTTTATGAAAATGGAATATTAAAAAATTAATATTGCCAATTTTTTAATATTCCATATATATATTTATACCCTACACAACTATGTTGTCAGGGTATTATAGCTTTGCGCAGCCCCAAAAGTTTGTAACGACGCGAAATATTGGTCCTAGGCAAAGCTTTAAGTATACCGATCGTCATATCTCGACTAGCTGAGTCGATCTAGACATGTGTGTCCGTCCGTCTGTCCATTATAATTTGTAAACACGATACAGGCCACAGTTATGGACCAATCTTCACGAAATGTATGATGGGTTCTGGCCAATGAAGGACCCCTATTGTTTTTGGGAAAGATCGGTTAATATTTAGGGGATGAAATGGACCAAATACTAAATTTTAAATGGACTTTTGTGTGAAAAATGACAAAATTTGTATTCTATAGCATATATATTTACCCCTGAAGGACATAGACCCGAAAAGTTTATATTATATCCAAGAGGAGTGGTTGACCTTTAAATTAATACCAATTATATTGTTGTATGTGCTCGGATGTGGGAGTTACACCTAAATATTTACAGGTATCTCCGTATTCGCATATTATTTAGTAACCCATTATCACTCTACAGAGGGGAATTATAGCGCTGATCGCTTTGACATGTTCCATGAGGTTTCAGTTATGGTCAAGGACAACGCCTATAATTTTCGGTGATGACCAGATAATAGTTTTGGAATGAAGTGGACCGAAAACTTAATTTTTTGTGTTATTTTCGAGTCGATCTATAGATTACAAATGAAAGCTCACAACACATCCCAATTTTTTGTAATATTCGAAAAATATGTCAGTGTAAGGACAATAGCTGTACTGAACAATAGTTAAGGGAATCTGGACGATGCAATATCGTAATATTCGAAAAATATGTCAGTGTAAGGACAATAGCTGTACTGAGGGACAATAGCTGTACTGAATACTACATTCGGGAAATATGTCAGCTGTTTACCTCTAATCGGGTAAGAGGGTGCAAATATCACAAAATATTGCCCAGGCTCGGAATATACATCCGCAGAAAATTTGAGTCCGTGGTAGTTGTGTAGGGTATCGTATGGTCTGCCCCGTCCGACTATACTGCTCCGCTCACTGGTTTTTTTTTGCAAAATTTTCAAATGACTTATTCTCTATTTAAAGACCCCAAATGGTATTATTGATGCCAGGCAGAACCTAAAAAAATCTTTAATTTCCTGGATTTACGTTAATAGTGGGTCCTGAGCGTAATTGGTTTATATCCCATAATTTGTGGCAAAAACCAAAAAATGAAGGAGTGGGAATGTTAAATAGCGTTTTGCAAGAGGAGAGGACAAAAGCGAACAAGATCGACAATATGATACTCTACGCCACTTTGGTGTGCTCAAATAATGGAATGGATATAAATTTTTGGGTGCAATATAAATCAATTTAAGGAGACTCCTCATTTTCGATTTTTCGAAATTTCAAATGTATTTTCATTTTTTTATACCCTACACAACTATGTTGCCAGGGTATTATAGCTTTGTGCAGCCCCAAAAGTTTTTAACGCAGCAAAATATTGGTCCTAGACCCACCTTTAAGTATACCGATCGTCATATCTCGACTAGCTCAGTCGATCTAGACATGTGTGTCCGTCCGTCCGTCTGTCCATTATAATTTGTAAACACGATACAGGCCACAGTTATGGAGCAATCTTCACGAAATTTTGCATGTAGAATGGGTTCTGGCCAATGAAGACCCCTATTGTTTTTGGAAAATATCGGTTAATATTTAGGGGATGAAATGGACCAAAAACTTTATTTTTGTCGGTTTTTCTGGTCGCTCCAGAGGGCGCAATTATGACCAAAACACCGCGAATTTTTGCAAGGAGAAGGGGGTCGGGCCAAAGAATAAGTATGCCTGTTTTGATAAAGATCGGCCAATATTTAGCGGATCAAATAGGCCCTGACTTTTGTGTGAAAAATTACAAAATTTGTATTTTATAGCGTATATATTTATTCCTGAAGGACATAGACCCCAGAAGTTAATAGTATATGTACTCGGATGTGAGAGTAACACTTAAATATTTAAAGGTGCTTACGTATTCATATATTATTTAGTAATCCATCCCCACACTAGGGGACGAAAATATTGCGCTGGTCACTTTGAAATTTTCCATGAGGTTCCAGTTATGGTCAAGGACAACGCCTATAATTTTCGGTGATGATCAGATACTAATTTTGGGATGAAGTGAACTTATTTTTTTGGTGTTTTTTTTCGAGTCGATTTATAGGCCACAAATATCGGTCAAGAGGGTGCAAATATCGCGAAATATTGCACAAATTTTCGTGGAAATTTTGTGGGGTATCATATGGTTGGCCCCGTCCGACTATACTGCTCCGCTCACTGGTTTTTATTTTACTTTAAATTTGTATGGGTGATTCTTAAGTAGTTATGATTTGGAATTAAATGAAAACACTAAATTCCTTTTTTTTTTGAAACGGAGAATGGTGATCCTTTTAAATAAAATTTGAGTCCATCCAATTCAAAAGTATGTTTTGGGCACAAATTCATGCTAATTAAAATAGGGTTTGTGCTTGGACCAAATAAACGGCTGCACTATGGGTAAAAAGTATGATTTTTTGGCATAAAGTCAAATTTTTTTGTTTTCATATTTTCAAATGAAACTGATTTCCTAATTGTAAAAAAAAAAACATTTAATATGAATGCGGGTGGCAACCTTTTTTGCTGGCGAGCTTTAAAAGTCAGCAGTTTGAAAGTCACATTGTTTTGGTACAACTGGCGGTAAAAATCAACTATGTTCGAGTGCTTGTAATTTGACAAAATTGAAAAAAATTAAAATGTGTAATTATGGAAAACGTTAGTGCAGGTATGCAAAATTAAGACGAGATGCCCTTTTTGTCATATTTGTCTGTTGTTGTAATACTGTGAAATGTTTTGTCTATGTATAACTTTATATAAAATCTATAAATTGTAGTTTTGTTCCGTGGAGTGTAACTTGTGAATGGCAAAGCATTGCAAAAAGGTGTGAATGCCAAGTTATTAACAAAAGTGTGTTAATTAATGAGTAACTAGCCTTTTTGTTCTATTTTGTGCCAACACGTGGTTTTACTGATAAACATGTGTTTACCCATGCAGCGCTTATTGAAATTTGGAGCAGCAACAATCGCTCAGAAGATGCACTTGTGAAATATGTGTTACAGAATATCATAATATCAGTATAAATGAAGACCAAATGCGTTTGATATCAAAACAAGCTAAAGATTTTGTTAATTATATAAAAAAGCATTTGCCAAAGTTCAACCGTAAATTAGAGCGATTAAAAACTAAACATTCAAAATGGCTTAGCAAAAGTATAATTATATAATGGATGAGCAGTATGTTTCCCCAAACAAAATAGGTCGCCAAAATGAAATTATGAAGATGCTGGACCTAGGCTAAAAAGGAAATTAGCCTCCGAAGTTGCTTCACAAAATATACATGCAACGCCGTTGGTAGTCAATGCTGCTACGGTTTCAGCCAAAATATCCAACGACGGAGACATGGCCTTTGTTTTGAATAAAGCAGTCAGTAATGGAAATATAGCCGAAGTAAGGAACAAACTTTTTGCTATATGCAGTTATATGAAATAGTGCCCAAATCATATGAAAATTGGTAGGTCATCTTGGGATCATAAAAATATTATACAAACCAAATTTCACTTCAATAGCATCATAAACAGCCGAATCATATGAAAATTGGTAGGTCATCTTGGGAGTCATCTTGTATACAAACCAAATTTCAATTCAATACTTTAAAATTAGAGTTTATGCCGAAATAAACGTAAAAACCCATAATTATTTCATTTTTATATTTTTATGCACTCAGCTTTATGACTAATGAGGGCTTGTGACTTTGCTTCGTCACTTTAGACGTAGCCTAACCGAGCCCAAGATTATTATGGCCTAATCCGATTCAGACATATTCGGAGTCGCGTGCCTGTCTGGTTGGTGCGTACGCTAACTCTCCAAGGGATAACGCAATTTCATCCAAACTTTGAACACGTTAACATACTTTGATTTTTATATTTTTATGCTGTTATCGAAATAAAATTAATTTTAGTTCCACAAACGTTCAAAATTCAGGATAAGTGTATACTACATATTCTATAGGTCGGCACTTTGTTTATCTTAATATTTTTCACTACGTATTGTGATATTGAAATATTTTAAACAAATACTACACAGAAATTGTTATATAAAAGTATTTAAAAACCAGTGAGCGGAAAAATCCGGATTCAATTTCCACGAAACTATAACTTTCTGTCTGGTTGGTGCATACGCTAACTCTCCAAGGGACAACGCAATTTCATCCAAACTTTGAACACGTGTGTTGTGATGTTCGTGGCCTATACTTAAAAAACACCAAAAAATATGTTTTCGGTCCAATATTCTCATCACTAAAATTATAGGTTATCGGTGACCATTCGAACCTCATGGAAAATTTCAAAGCGTCCACTCATTCTGTTGATCGACATAAAATTAATTTTAGTTCCACAAACGTACAAAATTAAGGATAAATTTAAAGTGTATACTACATATTCTATAGGTTCAACAAATATATACCCCACTTTTTATCTTTATATTTTTCACTACGTATTGTGATGTTGAAATATTTTAAACAAATACTACACAGAAATTGTTATATAAAAGTATTTAAAAAATACAAATTGAACTCACCTGGAACTATCAGCGAATGTTGGGAGTGTAAGAAGAGCACCTGGTGCTGTATTCCAGACTATACTATTTCGCTCTGGGTAATGTGGTAACCGCTCTCGTATAATCTGAAAAAAAAAACAGTACAAATTACTACATTTATTAAAAAAATATTTATATATTTTTATTGACGAATTTCTTCACTCATGTGACAGGTGTGTTTTGAGACAACTCGTTTTTAAAAGTGAATGTCTTGATGTATGTCAAACACACTGCTTTTAGCTTACATTGATTCGGTTATTGTACAAAATAAACGAAAGGAATATATTTCATCTACATACAAAATATAGTTTTCGAATACATACACCATTAAAAACTACTATTTTTACAATTTCATTGGGCTCCGTTTTTTGTTCGTATTGCAAAAACAGTTCATTTTCCAAAACAAAAACTTCAAAAAAAAAAAAGGAAGAGCAACATTAAAATGCAAAAGGAAATGATTTTGTTTTAGATAGAAAAAAGCTAAACGAAACATAACGAAATTTCTACAAATGGAGTATAAAGTGGAGAAGGACTCTGTCAGAAATAAACAGCATTAAATTATTGCTTAATGAAGGATTTAAGAGGCACTTTAAAGCAAAGTTAAGTGAATTGCCAGGCACAAATACCTCATTACTATTCAAGAACAGAATAAACAAAAAAGACAAGAAAAAAGCAAAAGAGGGAAGAGAACCGAGAAATGTAAAACAAAAAATTTAAAAAAACACACACACTCCAGAATAAGGAAACTAAAACTCAAACACCAAACAAAATGAAATACAATAAAAGAAGAAGGAAGAAGTACACAACAACAACCAACCATCCATTGCCAGATATATACATTCATACATCCATACGTGTGTATGGGTTTTTGTGTAGCTTTTTTCAGTTTGCTTTTTTGTGACCCTCGACCGCTTGTTTAGCAAGGATGCGAGTAAAAACCCAAAACGAAACCCAAGAGCAACATATTAAATGGACATATAAATCAAATAACTGACTGAACTTTGACTGCCTGCGAAGGATGACCAACTTGACAGAACAATTGTGTTTTACAAGCATTCTGCAAACGACTTTAATGAAAACCTCTTTAAAAGTTTATATTAATTTTTAAAAAGGATGCTCCTTAACTTTATATCTTATGGGTTAACTTAAAAATGCTACGCTCAATGCGAGGGGTAGCTATGTTTTATTGTTTTTGCAATATTTATGAAGTGGTGAGTTACAAACATTTAATGGGAAACAAATAAAAAAAATAATATGAAAATATATATGTATGTAATGTGAAAAAAATTAGAAATGTATGAATGTGATTCAATATTTTTGGAAGTAGATTTAGCTGATGGCGCCTCGAAAAAAGTTAATCCAATATCTTTTATATTGAAAGTGAAGTCCATTTGAACTCTAAAGCGAAATCATATTATTTATCATTTTGGTTCCATGCATATTAAGCTGTCATCAACCATCAATGTACCTATAATCGTACATTTTACATACAGTCGGAGGGAAATATATATATATATATATATATATACTCAATAAATGTCATACCATTCAAGTCGTTAGCCCATGCTAAGTTCCGTGTCAATTGAATAGACATGGTGTCCTCCATGTGCCATCTGAACATATTTTAACAAAACTTAAGACCCGTTACTCTGGACTCGATATTCAAGATCAATAAGGTAGACTGTGTAAAAATCAATGGGTTTTGACACCTCAACAATGGACCATAATTTCAAAAACTTGCACATATGCTTGTTTATAGAACATTAAATTGCTCCAAACATTGCAGATTGTAATATTAATACCTTCAGCCACTTTGCTACGGCAAAAATGTGCCTCATCGAAATATTGGTTTTAGACCCCATGTTCTTTGGACCCAACTCGTTTCAGACAATTTGGAGTCGATATAATAAATTATAAAATCGTGCGAACCGACTATCCGATTTTAACCAAACTTTGTACAAACAATTATCTTTACCATGCCTAGATCAAGTCTAGAAATGGGTCCCATTGGTCCACTCATTCTGGTACCTGCCCCACAAATGGTCAACATTTTCAATATTTATAAATCCAATATCAAGGGAATGTAATATCTGATTTCAACCAAACTTTGCACAACCTTGTATCATTACCTAGTCTTGATCTAGTCAGAAGGTGGTCGATTTTAACCAAACTTTGCACAATCTATTATCTTTACAAAGATTAGATCAAGTCCGAAGATGGGACGCATTGGTCCACTCCTTCTTGTACCTCCCACACAAATGGTCACAACTTTTTATATTTATAAATCCAAAATTGGGCGGATGTAATGTCCAAACCTATTATCTTTACCAAGCCTAGATCAAGTCGAAGGTGGGACCCGTCTGCCCTCTCTTTGTGGTACCTCCCCCTAGTGTTCAATATTTTATAATCTTGAAAATCTTAATTTGGGAGTATAAAAAACATTTACTTTATATGAAGCGAATAATAAAACCTGTGTGTGATACCAAAGACCTCCGCACACCATAGGCTAAGTGTATATATCTGTCGGCAACACCGACTGACACTTTTTTACTCATTTTACTAAACTTAGGTCAAATTAAAAGATGAAGCCTACGGTTCCTTCTTCTGGTACTGAAAGCATTTCGAAGTAAATGGTCGCATGTTACTTAAGCAAAACAGGTCATGTGGCCCCTGTTGGGCTTGAGCATCGTAAGACGGTCAATTCCGAGTTGTATAGTCTTTGGAAAAATTAAAATAAAATATATTTAGGTAGCCACCACAATTGAGGATAATTTTAACGCTCATTAACTGAGGACATTAATTTGGCGTCAATGCCGATTAATATCTCCTCCAATTTATGGAGCTCTTAGTCACCATTCCTTAAAATAGTAATGAGTCTAACATTGCTAACATCAAAATATATACCACAAAGTGTTTTCCTTTCAATACGGCAAATTCTCTATGGACAAAAATAAGAATCACAAAAGTATCTTTCATTTAAGTTAACTTAAATAAATCGTCTACTTCTGTCCACAGGGGGATATTTTTCAAAGTAATTTACAAAAAAAGGACTAAACACATGACTCATCTGAAATTGTTGTTATTTTCAAATATTTACTGATCCTTACTACATAAAAATCAAACAGAATCTATATTTAAATATTATTTACTCAGAAAAAAATGAAAAACAAAATATAAATTGTCTAAAGCCAAGAAGGACGGATCCATAGCTGCTGTGCATACACTAAAACACAGTTGGATGGATGGCCACATGTCGAGTCCAAAAAGGATTTTCAAGGAAATGCAACACATAATATTTATTGGACGAGTAATAAAAATCCTTGTGGAATAAATATCAAAACAAAACCTGTACTGGATGCAGCCACAGCCTGAGCATGTGCTTTGCCATGGACGGACTAAACACCGACAATCTTTAAATGGATAAAAGATGGATTTGATTGGATGTATTCTTGTTCGGTTTTGTTTATTCTATTTTTCTCATATCAATGGATGGATTGATGGATTTGTGTGGGGCGGGGTAACCGGTGGCCTAGGGATTGTGCGATGAAATAAAAACAACACAAAATCGAAACGAAAACACCAGAATAAACGGAGCAGTTCAATATTCAATATTTATTATTTGTTTCAATAAAACAAAGATTAATAGGATGGTTTGAACAAAGGATAGGACTGGACTGCATAGAGCAAAGCTGGAACGTTGCCACATTTATGGTGGTGGCGTGTAACCCAGAGCAATAAATGAATAGCATACATAAAATATAAAATCAATTTAAAAAAAATGTAGCCATTCGTTAAAACAACGAGCAATTAATTTGTTTGCAGGGACTCAAACCCTACTGCCTCCTAACCAAGAATGCTTCGGCAAACAATTCATTTACAGCTGACGTTCAAGTGAATATTGAGGTCAACTCCCTGCCATTCCGTCCGTCTGTCAGTCTTTCATTCATCGATGAGAAATCATTAAATATTTCAGGACTAAAGAGAAAAAACCAACACATTTAGCATTTATCATTGTGAAAAATATTTCTTTTCAGTTCAACGGAAATCTTACAGTCGAATGAACAAAAGCTGTAAACAAAATTTAATTATAGACATATTTTTTTTTTTTCAAACGGCTTTAGGCTATTGTTAAAAATTTTGTGTATTTGAAGGTGCGATGTTTTAAGGGGAAACTGTATATTTTGAAAATAAATACGATATACGTTTTATTTGTGCTTCACAGTGATTGCCAATTTTTATTATATAATTCATATATCATATTAAACAATCATTCAGTTTGTAGCACATAGTGCGGCACTAAAATCTTGAAATAATAAGATTTTAAATTTTCAGGTTGAAAATTGTGTCATAGTGTAATTATACACATAAGAAATATATGCCAGAATAAGCAAACAGAAAATAAATTAATTAAAAAATTGATATATAATCAATTGATATAGAATTCCTAAAATGGCGCCTTATCAAAATTTTGTGAAAAGAAAATACCACATCATTACATATAGTTAGGTTAAACAAATCGGCTGGGGTTTCAAAATTCCGCAAAATGTTTGGAGCCTATATTGTCGCAGTTAGTCAAATTTCACCGAATTTCATCTCCATTCATACTTTCCTTGATATGGACCTCTGAAGTTGTGGAATTCATATACTCATAACATCGTAATTTATGGACCGACGATGATGGTAATATCGGCGGCTATTAAGAAAAACGTGTTTATTTAAAAGAAATGTTCGATGGCGTAGCCGAATTTTCCATCTGTCTTAGGTAGCCGGCCAAGTCCGGTTATTGAGAAAAAAATTTAGTTTAAAATATTGATGCATTAGTCAAATTTTCCGCCTGTCTATATGAGAAGGGCTTAAATTCCGTTCCGAAGTCCCGCTATTTTGAACAATTTTTAATTAAAATGAATTGATATGAAAATATAATTTGTTCGATTTAAAACCATACCAATATTACCTTCACTGATAAAGTTAAAACCATATTATTTTTAACTTTTAAAATACTGATTTATATTCCGGTTTATGGTAAAATAATTGATGTCCTAATTTTAAAATTTCGATTGAAGCAATTGGAAATGGCTCTCATATT